AAGTCTAGTACGAGAACAGCGGTGCGGTGGTGGGTGGGGGGGGGGGGGGGGGGGGTGTCCGTAAACAACATCTGCGCAATAAAATGGAGGAATTGCTTTTGTTTGTAAAGCCGGATTGGAAAATGTATTTTTAGTTTGAGGGTTTAGTGACGCGTTATTTCCTCCACAATGCAATTAATGTCCCGTTTTTCTGTGATGTCACTTCCTGTGAACAGCGCGGGTCATCTCCACCAGTGAGAGCGGATCCAGCTCGGATGAGACCATGTCGCCAAATATGCCAGTGCGGAAAACACAGGTGCGCTTCCTGGAGCTGCATCGGGTCGCCTCTTCCTCCAGCATGAAAAGGTACTGTGCTCTCGGCGGCGGGGCGTGCAGACTGATATTGCATTCCCCGCCACTTAAGTATATCTAAACCCGAGAACAAAAAGAGTTGTCACACTCCCCCCCCCCACACACACAATTTGGGCTTAGTCAAAGGGTGGGGTGCAATCATTACCCCTGGATGAACCCCCATACAGTTAATAGGTTTTTGAACCCCTAGTCAGCTGACTCATAGGGGCAGATTACATCCTTCCATCCAACGTAGTGCTGCTCGTATGGCAATGAGAATAGGAAATTCCTATACTTAGCGCCATCTAGTGGCGATATCGTCATACAAATGGCATGCGCCCAGCGATATGCCGAGCAGAAGAGCGCCCTTCCTTCGAGCTGCGTCATGCTGCTTATATAGCACTAGATGAGACTGAGGACAATGGGACATTCCTGTGCTCCGTAGTGCCATCTAGTGGCGGTATTGTCATACAAACAGCATGTTCCTAGCTATATGCTGGGCATGATAGTTTTCTAAATCGGTCCCTTTTTTTGTTCTGAGAGCTCTCGGCAAAAGTTTTCTCCCTCCTGATGCTGATTGTTCTTGCACTCTGTGACTTTTGCATAAGGCTATTTTTTTTGCCAGTGGTATTAAAGTCGCGTCAAGTGAAATTCAAGGCCTTCCAGGGCTGTTTCTGGGTCCTGTGTCCTTGTAGAGGTTTGCTGGTGCACTCTCTAGGGCAGTGGTGGCGAACCTCGGCACTCCAGCTGTTTTGGAACTACAAGTCCCATGAGGCATTGCGAGGCTCTGACAGCCACATACATAACTTCCAGAGGCAGATGCATGTTGGGATTTGTAGTTTTGGCACAGCTGGAGTGCTATGGTACGCCACCACTGCTTTTGGGAATGCGCCCCCCCCCCCTCATCAATATGTGTCTTCTGTCCTCCTCAGCTTACCATTGGACTGTCCCTCCTCCCCGATGAGCGAAGTGCTGCACATGCCGCAATTCCAGATTCGAAGGCTCCGAAAGCAGCTGATTGAGGGCAGAGACCTCCGAGATGAATTGGAGCTGGAACTGTCTGAGACCAGGAAACGTCTGGCGGAGAAAGGTAACCTACGCACTGAATGCACTATGTTGTATTAGTCGCAGGGGGCTCTACAGACCCCAGGGCCTTGGTCCACCTGTCTGGGGGAGCCCGGTCACTGAATGTCACTGGTACTCTCACTGTACGGAGAGGAGATATTGCCCTGGATCTTGTCTGGCCTGTCCACAATTTGGGGACCGTGTGGCGCAAGTGATTACCAGTGATCTTTGTCTACCTGGTTGCACCTCTGCAGGGATTCATACCAGGTATATTTCCCTTTCGTCCTCCAGAACAGCTTGTGAGAGTCTCCACCCCTTTTATTAGGAAACCCGCCCCCCTCAGTTGTTTCAAAAGGCCCGCCACTGAGG